GCCAGACCTCTGCCCCAGGCGCTGGGAAGGGGGCGGGGAAGGGGCGGGCTCCGGGAGCAGGCGGGCGGCGCTCCCGGCCCTCCAGCGCGCAGAGCGGCCGCGGCTCTCGGCAGATGCGCTCGCCCCAGCCGGGGCCTGCCGAACGCCTTTCCGCGGAGTCTCCCCGACGCCCCGAGGAGGAGGTAGCGGCCGCGCCGCGCTAGATCGGAGGCCGAGGACAGCGCCTCCGTCCGGCGCCCAGAGGTGGGTGTCCAAGCTCAGGCGCGGCGACCCAGGAAACCAAGTCCCTGGGGCCCCCTCCTGGTGTTGGGGCCTCGGGCGCGCGGGGAGAGGGTGGCTTGAGAGGGATTGGTTTCTTGGGAGGCCCTCTGATGCACCGCGGACTTTAAAGGGCTTTTATCGTCCTTGCCTAGTGGAGCGTGTGCGGGGCGGGGGCCTGGCTGGAAAGGGCTGTGACCCTGTGGCTTTGAATTCCTAGGTTTGGGGGAGGGCCAGCTTTTGGCTGCTTTATTCAATATTTACTTATATATGCTTTAAAAACTAAACTTAGGAATATCACCTCCCTCCCACCCTCTCCGCCAAACACACACAGAGTCGGGCTGTACAGGAAAAGCAGAGAAAAATCAAAGGTCGGTAACCGCCTCTCCAGGCCTGGGAGCCGCTGTAGATGGAGCCAGCGGTTCCAGCTGGAGAAGAAGGCGCGCGTCCTGACTCCTTTGATGGTAGCGCTGGGGGCGTTTTCAGAAATCAGGAGCTTTGCAGGGAGACTGAGGCCGAGGAGGGCCGGGTTCTCAGCCAGCTGGAACCTTTTGGAATGGGGTCCGGGGAGCTGCTGTAGGAGGAGGGAGCAGCCCTTCTGCGCGCGGAGGGAGGGGGAACCGGGTCCGAGCTGAGCCTGGAAGTTCGGCCTGAGGCTGGGACCCCAGCTATTAGGCTCTGGTGTTTTATCCTGGATAAAGCCGGAGGGTAGGTCTCTTTGGCCCCCTTTGTGGGGACACTGTGGGGAGTCGAGGGCGCGGATCGTGGTGGTGAGCGCTGGGGCAAGTGTTCTGAAATCGCGGTGGAGGCGACGCGCCTCCCGGGATAGGAGCTAGGAGATACTGGCGGCCCTGAGAAATTCTAGAGAATTGTAGCGGAGAACAGGGGACTGAATGGACGTCCGGGAGAGCGGGCTGTCCGGGAGCCCGCGGAGGGAGGCGAGGCGGGCTGGGGAGCGGTGGGGTTAGTGGGCGGTGAGGGCGGAAGGCGAAGCGGCGGCTGCAGGCGGTGGGGAACGAGGCGGAGGGTGGGCCCGCGGGAGCGGGTCCCGCAAGCTGGTTTCTGAGTTTCCCTGGACGGATGCGAGACAGCCAGCATTGGGGATCTCTCCCTGATCCGCAGAAGGGGCCGTCTGGGAGGGAAGTGACTCGTGTAGAGAGATGGTGGATTATTTCTCCAGACCCGGTTTCCCGCGTGGGGCAGTAGTGGTTTGGCAGATGTCTGCCCTTCCCTGTAGCCGTTTTAGGCGCAGCACCTAACCCCCCCCCCCCCCGTCTTTACCTTTGAAAAAAACGAACACACACACACACACCCCTCTCTATATAGTATATCCCTCAGTCTGCAAACAGCTTCTCAGAGGAAGCGGTCTTCCGTCTTATCACCCGTCACAGGCACCTGGAGGCTGAATTAGGACAAACCCACCACTCACCAGTGTAAACCCCAGGGGATTTGTTTCCTTGGCTTTGTTCTAATTGAAGAGAGGTAAATTAAGCATCACACTTTTCTTCCTGGAAATGTTCGCAATTTAATTAAACACTCTCTTTCTGCTGGCAGCCTCCTCAACTTTGATCAATAAAATTTCAGAGTAACAGGTCTAGAAATGAGGCATATTTAGTAAGGAGTTCACTGCTTCTTTAAACATAAAGCCTTTTAAGAATTGAAACTTGCCCTAAAGCACCTCTAAACGGCTGTCCGATGCCTGCGCTCTCCTCTCCATTTTGATATAGGCTCTTTGCTTAAAGGGCATCTTCTCCTTTGAGTGGGCACACCATGGGTCTTGTAGGCCCTGCAGTTATTTTGAGCTGCACCAATAAAATTAGTCATGAGCCAGAAGAAATGAAAGTAATATACCTTGGGTCTCCAGATACCTTACCTAATAGACTGGGCAATTAAGTGTTGAGATGCTTCTCTGGCAGTGGAGTTCATTTTTAACTTCTTTCTGGGATGCCAAGATGCTAGTGTGAGACTGGGCTTTGAGATGGGACAAACATTTTGAAATACCCATTATCTCATAGTTCTGGCATGACAGTTGAAACAGTTTCCTGCCTGCGGAGTTCAGGGCAGTGTTGTCAGAATTTATTTCACTTTCATAAGTGGCTCCTTCTGCCTCGCTAGCCTCAGGGTCTCTGGCTGATAAAGTGGAAGAGGTTGTCTTAATTTAGTTATCAAGTGAGGGGAAAATGATCCACTGGTTGTTTTATTTCTAAACCTTTCAGCATTTCAATATAGAAATTACATATTAACTGTTGCTTCTAAAATGTTAACACCCTGGACTTTCTAATTAATTATGATAATTATGGGCTAGATTCTGCTGTCTTTATAGATTTGGTGGACTCTTAAAACACCCATGTCCTAGATTTCTATCAAGGTTGTCATCACAAGTCTCTACATATTAGGAAAATGAGAAATGTTTCAAATAAAAATGCAATTGAATTTGGACAGGGGTTGTGTTGAGGGATTTTAATGATTAAAACAGGAGCATGTCGAAAATTGACTCTGAAAACCAGTTTCATTTTTAAGTTTTATACATTTCTCAGCACTGGTATGATCTGTCATGAATTAGCCTCTGGAATGGCTGTCCTTTGATCCTGAGAGACATGGGAGTCATCATTTGCTTAGATGATTGGTCAGGCATCCTGTGTAAGCTATTGGAAATTTCAAATTGATTAATGTACTTATCAGGTTCAACAATGTTAGTAAGTCTTGCTAGAAGATTGCATCATTTTTTTGGTACTGTGCAAACTTGACACCCGGAGGCAGATTTGCTGTGATGCTAAAAAAACTTAAGCTTCAGAGCCTTGCACTAGCACCAGCCTCATCCAGGAGCACTTTGGGTGGCTTGAACCTGAGGGAGGCAGTGTGTCCATCAGCCATCAGGGGAGATAGATAGGGAGGGAGGGAGGGAGGGGGAGAGAGAGAGAGAGAGGGGGAGAGAGAGAGAGAGAGGGAGAGAGAGAGAGAGAGAGAAATATCTTTGTTAGATAATCACCTTCTAAGGTGATTATGACTGCTGTTAAGTTTTGGACATATGCCCTTCAAACACATTTTCCAGGAAGATATTATTATAGAAAAGTTGAAATTATCTCTGTTGTAACAGGAAAATCCACTACAGGTTTCCCCCACCTTCTGAAAGTTCACATTAGTGCCACTTAGCTTTTACTCAGGATCTACATTTCGCTAACCAGAAGAAATCCAAAGAAGATTTTCCCTTCTATGAAGAAGCTGTTACCGAACTAGTGTAGTCTTTGGTAAAATGGAAGTGTCTGCTGTAACATGAAGTGGGAATACTCTTTGCTTCATGCCAGTTCAGCTTACCAAAGGTTTCATAGGAGTGGTCTACTTTCAGATAGTGGGACAAACAGGTATTTTGCTCAAAAAGGAAAACTATAGAGTATGTTTGTGTGATTTAAGTAGGACTTGATTAATTAGAATACTTAAGAACTAGAGTGCTCTAATAATTTCAGTAACTGAAATTTAAACTTGTCTTAAACATTTATTTCAACTGTTGTTGATGAAGATGTTTCTAAGATGTAATAAATGACTACCCCGCCTCGACTACTTCTTGCCTTAGTGAGTTGACCGTGGTGAACGTACTGTTGTCCTTCCCTTGACCGTTCAGGATTTTGTAGTCTCAGCGTGATGTTAGCGTAGATACAAATTATAATTTTTAGAAGTGTAGAAGTGTAATCGCCAAACCTAGTCCAGTACAGACTCTGGAGGCTGGCTTTTGAGAAAACTAAAATCCCAATATAAATGTTATTTCTGTTCTTTGCCCCAGTCTCTGAAAGATGAGCGCCAGAAAAACGAGTTAATCAAGACCTTGCCTTCTTCCTACAGTAAAACAGGATGCGCTTTCTCCAGGGTTCAGCCAGAGGTTCTTTATTCCTTTTGAAGTGAATTCAGAGATTGAGGAGGTGCAGAAGAGGACAGACAGCATGGGCGGAGGGACTGAGAGCATCCTTGGGCCCATTGACCTCTTTTTCCCTTTGGTACTTTTTTTTTTTTTTTTTTTTTTTGCGGTACGCGGGCCTCTCACTGCCGTGGCCTCTCCCGCTGTGGAGCACAGGCTCCGGACGCGCAGGCTCAGGGGCCATGGCTCACGGGCCCAGCCGCTCCGTGGCATGTGGGATCTTCCCAGACCGGGGCACGAACCCGTATCCCCTGCATCGGCAGGCGGACTCTCAACCACTGCGCCATCAGGGAAGCCCACCCTTTGGTACTTCTCTCTCAAATCTAGGAGCACCAGTGCTATCAGGCCTTGGGGGCGACACGTTTGAGTGGAATCAAGGAACATGTAAGTGGCATTTGTTCCTTTCTTGGTTGGAGTCTCAGAAAGACTGCATGGGCCCTGCAACTGGAAAAGGTACCCTTTGGAGGTAGAATGCTGAAGGTTTCCTTATTCAGGAAGAGGATGGGGATGGGGATGAAATGATGGAGCTTCCCTCAAGTGGGTTTGTTTGTCTGTTTGTCTTGGAGGATACATGTCCGAGTTGGGGGAGTCATGGTGTGAACGCCAAGGAAGGGGAGAGAGCTGTAGAACTTGGTGGGGGTGACACTGTCCTCTGAAGCCCCCTTTTCAGGGACTTTGTGGTCGGTTGGATGCTTGATTGGAGCAGATGGGGTGAGCACAGCCAAATACACAGATACTATATCTAACGCCCCAGTTATCCAGAGCCACGGCAGGGCCCAAGCTCATTAGTGCGTTGGCCAAATTCTCTATCAGATCTACAGCATGTTACATAAACTGAGTCTTAGTTCCTTCATCTATAAAAAACGGGATACGGAGAAGATTAGCGTGGCCCCTGCGCAAGGATGACATGCAAATTCATGAAGTGTTCCATATTTTTTATACATACTACTATATATAAAATAGATAACTAATAGGGACCTACTGTATATCACAGGGAACTCGACTCGATACTCTGCAATGACCTATATGGGAAAAGAATCTAAAGAAGTGGATATATGTATATGTATAGCTGATTTACTTTGCTGTACAGCGGAAACTAACGCAGCACTTTAAATCAACTATACTCCAATAAAAACTTTTTAAAAATAATAAATAAATAAAAATAAAAAATGGGGATACCAAAACTTACCTACTTCAGAACTTAAATGAAATAGGTATGGAAGCACCTTGAACGTGTATTCTTCCCCAAATTGGTTGTTTTCTTTAATTAACCAACATCTTCTTTCATCTTTATGGCAGATGCAAATAAGTAAACAGTTGTTAAAGTTAATTTAATTTCATTTTTTTTTTGCGGTACGCGGGCCTCTCACTGTTGTGGCGTCTCCCGTCGCGGAGCACAGGCTCCGGACGCACAGGTGCAGCGGCCATGGCTCACGGGCCCAGCCGCTCCGCGGCATGTGGGATCTTCCCGGACCGGGGCACGAACCCGTGTCCCCTACATCGGCAGGTGGACTCTCAACCACTGCACCACCAGGGAAGCCCTAAAGTTAATTTTAAAAAATTCCAGCAATTGTGTAGCACATCAGTTGTTCATGCTTTACACTGATCAGATCCAGAAGCTTTGGGCACAGAGGTTCTCCAGGCCTGACCTTCATGCCCACCCCACAGCCCCCTTTTGACTTGGGGAACCTGGCTGACATCCTTCTCGTCCCCTTACCCCTGAACCCTGTTGTATCGAGGCTTCTTCCAGTCTTCTTTACCTGCTCTCTCTTGATGCTTCGAGTAGGTCAGAAATTGCTTCTCAATGGGAAAATGGACCCAGATTTTCAGGACCCTAATCCTGGGCTTTAAGCTCACTCAGTGACCGGCAGTAGGATGGCGGTCACTGGGATTCCCCTTCACGAACTACTGCAAGCTTCTTTGCCAGCTTTCATGAGTTTACTCTGTCATAAGGCAGGAACATAGATGAATGTATTAAGTAAAGATTTGCCACGAGTTTAAAATAAAAAAGGTTTTCAGAAGAGCCTGAGAAGCGTAGTGAAATCAGTCCTTTGTGTCTCATCGTTGAACTTCTCACGGATTTGCAGTAGAGCTGGCTGCTTGGATGATGATGTAGCAGCCAGATGAGGTGGACACACCAGAAACATTATTTCGAGTTAATTCTTAAGTGCTACACATCATTCTTCTTAACAAACACATATAAAAGGTAACCTCCACCCTTGGTCCAAACCTCGCCCCAATTTCATGGTGCCACGCCTGTGTTAGGATGAGGCTGTGTGTTTAAGGAAGTGAGTCGGTTAGGAAAAGCAGTTGGGGATTCACAAACAGCATGACTGAAAAAGCAGAACACTGTAGCACCTAACCCAGTTTGTGATGCCCCTGTGAAGTTTTCTTTTTAATCACTGTCTGCTGGAGGGAAGTCCCCCTCAGAACGTCTCCGCAGGGGAAACTGTCCAGCTCAGGGCCAGTGACTCTCCAGTGTATGTACCCTGCTTAAGGGCCTCAGCCCTGCATGAAGACCCAGTTTCCTGGGAACTTGCCTGTTCACTTGAGCAGCATATCTGGACATGTGTTGCATCACCCCAGTGTCCATAGAGTGTCCATATGGTACAGACTGTCAGCATCACCCGTGTGGGAGGAGCCTGGATACTGCCTTTTAAACTGGTTTTGCTGGTGATGCCAAGACCAGGGGATGGTGGCAATCCTGGTGCTCTGTCAACAGGTCTGTGAATTCTACTTGCACATTCTGCCCTGTGGAGCACCCAGCGTCCTTATCTGCTACGTATGATTGGCGAGCAGTCGAGTCAGTGTATATCAATGGTGGTCCAGAACTATTAACCTCTCTTTGAACTACATAAGGATGTTTTTTCTTGCTCTGCGTATGCTTTAGCGAGGAAGCCTTGAAAAGGATTATTACTGTGCAGAGCAAGGATAAACAGTGATGCTAGAGCAGTTTTTCCTGGGTTGTCAGAGGGTGCTGGACTGGACGTTACCCCACAGGCCTTAGAGCGCCCTGGGTTGGTGAGGTTTAGAGGAGAACTTTGCCAGACCTTCCAGGGTTATTGTGTTTTGTCGGTTAGAAGGAAGAGTGTGTGCGTGGAACTGGTACCAACACCACTCCAAGTTCTGTGAAGAGAGAGTGTTTCCTTAGGTGGCCATCCTGTCCATCGCCATGGCTTTTCCCAGGGTGTTTGTGATGATCCTGTGGGCCTTGGACTGAGCTAGCGCTTCCTGCAGCAGAGACCAGCCCTGCAGACTCTGGGGGAAGCCCCGACCCTCAGATGCCTTTCTTCCCACCCAGCCTGACCAGCCTCAAATGCAGAGCTCTGCCAGGGCCGCCTGAGCCCCGCACCTGGGTGTAGGTGGAGGAAGGCCAAACCACACTTTCCAGTAGGCGATTAACCGTCGGCTTGCTGCCCCTCTCCCAGTGCAGCTGACTGTCTCGGCTTCTGTTCTCATGACGACATTTGCACAGTGGAATCATGCAGAAACTTACTTTGTTTGGAGCAATGCCTCACATACATTTTTTCTGATACAGCCTACAAATGGAGAAAGACACCATTGTTGAGCACTTTTCGTGGGGGGGTGGGGATGGTGAGAGAGTGATTTTCCCAAAGGAATACATCTTACTTAATATTCTAGAAAAATCAAGTACTACACAACCCTGAATTCAAAAGCTCTCTCTGTATGTATGTTAAAATCAAGGTCTATGTGTCATGTGCTGTGTGATCCCAAGGCTGTATTTAGCCTGGCAAATTAGTATTTTTGCATTAGAACATTTTATCCTCGCAAAGGATAGCAAGAATTCTCCCCGTACACAATTCCAGATGAGTAGAATTCATTCATTTGGGGAGGAATATGAAGAAACTGTTTTGGAAATTGAGATCCAACCCACAGCACTTGCGATTATTCCTGCTTGAGATCATTTTTCCTTTTGAGGAAAGTTTAAATCAGTGTTAAATGCAGCATGGAGGTGGACCCAGAGAGTGGGAGGCATTGCTTTCGCATGAAATCACAATGTGTACATTGTTGAAAAATATTCTTTTCATCGTATGCTTCATTACCAAAACCATTCACAGCCTCCAGAGGACGACAGATGTTACGGTGTAAGCAACAGAGAGAGTATAAACTAGAAGAAAGGAAAGGGAAGAAATCCCTCCTTCTCCAACCACCACTCAGAATGGAATTGAGTTTTTTTCTTCTAGGGAATTCCCTGTAATCCCCAGGGATGGCTTGACCTTGAGGTTTCTAGGCTTGGTGCTGGGAGGAGCTAAGAGGAAAAGGGGAGGGAATTAACATTTTCTGAGCACCAGACACCAAACTGGTTGCTTTATCTTCAGTGTCTTACCTAATGCTAGCAATCACCACCATTTTTCAAATGAGGATGCTGAGGCACTGGGAGGTCATCAGGTAACCAGCCGAGCTGTGCAGACGCCAGCCAGTTTTCTTACGCAGTTTTCCCTCTTGTTACTAAACCAGTGCTAAAGGGCCCTGGTGCTCAGAGTGTGGTCTGAGGACCTGCGGCATTAGCATCACCATTACCCAGGGGCTTTGTTGAAACTAGAGAATCCTGAGCCCCATTCCAGACCTGTGGAGTTGGAATCTGCATTTGTAACAAAATCCCTAGGGACTTGTGTGCACAGTATGGTGTGAGAAGCTCCACTACACCGGACTTGGAGGGCGAAGGTCTGGCAGATACCACGGAGAAAACTAGCCAAACCTCAGGACTGCGATCAGCAGACTGACTTGAGGGATTGGTCTATCTGGGAGCGGGGATGGGTGCAACTATGAATAGAATCTAGCAGGATGCAGCTAAGCATCTTAAAATGCACGGGATGCCCCCCTCCCCTCGCAACAACGAATTATCTTGCCCCGAATGTCCACAGTGCTGATGCTGAGAAACCCAGATCTAGTCGTCCATATCTGGAATTCACATCCTGTAGATATGTTTCCATGGCTTCCGATGCCTGCAGCTCTCTAGCAAGTGTAACTTAGATGATACTGATTGCATTTTGCTATGCAAATGTGATTCTCTTTACTGGGACTTGGAAGGAGTAAAAGAGCTGAAATTGCAGCATGATAGATTTCTGTTAGGGTTATGAGAGTGTCTGGCTCTGGTACCCAGGATGTTGCAGAAATGTTTCTGAGTGTGGGGGTCACTCCGCCCCCTCCAGTCCTGCCTGGCAACAGTACCTTTTGTTTGTTTTACCCCCCAAACTTGCCCAGGCCTCTGTTCTATTTCTCAGCCTCCAAGCAACCTGTGTTGGGTCAGCTGTGATACCTGGAGGCTGGGGGAGGAAAGGGAATAAATGCAAGACTGGTGAAGGGAAGCAAAGCCTCTTTCCTACCACCTTGCCTCCCTGCCTGCCCCTGGGATCTACTCATCTCCGCCTTTTCTCACTCAGCTCCTCTAATTCCAGCACCTCCACTGACAAACACCTCTCCTCTCCTCTCTCCCTGCCCCTTCTCTTCCTCTCTAGATTCTGGCCCAGAACATCTGGAACTCTCTCCCCTCCATCCCCTCTGCCTCCCTCCCTCCTTTTCTCTCTGTCTTCTGTTTGTGAGCTGAAAATCAACCTGAATCACGACTGGGAAGTGAAACCAGGATGCCCAGTGTATATTAAGGGAGGGAAAAGTTTTGAACTGAAATTCTATCCGATAAAGAACCCTTGGCATTTATCTCCGTCAGAATGGCTACAAACACCTCTACCTACTTTCTTCTACTCTGATTAAAACTTGCTTTTTCTCGAGCTCTAGAGTTGGAAAACAGAATTCTTTCTTGGTTCTAGTGTGTTTTACAGCTTTCTTTCACTGTCGATATTATAACGATCATTTTCCTATACTTTTAAATGAACATTGTCATTGAAGTAGATTGTTCTCAACAAGTTTTAGATTTATCACCGAGGCATCCCAAGGAGAAGAAAATCTCTTCGCAAC